TCACTCCCAGCTCATGCTTTTCTTTGAAGTTCTCAAGTTACCAAAGATATGGACTGTTTTTATCAAAAGTATAAACTTGTATTTTCTTTCAAAGGGACTGTGTTGGGACCATATTACCTTATTTGTTTGGCATTAATATTGCCTAGAGGTATATCCTTTCTCTGATTATCTTTGTGTGTTCTAAATACTTTCTTAGACTTGGTCTCTTCCTTTGAAATATATGGGTAAAACATACCACTTGCCTGAATGTTTTTGCTTAAACTTGTCATATTTATTTTTTAAACTTTCAGCATCAGTCAAGTATTTATTTAAAGTTTGCTATTAAAAATTTAAAAAAAGACCTAAAAAGCTTACTACTTGCTTATAATATTGAGAATAAAATTGTACCCATGAAATATACTCCACTAAGGGGAGCCGTGGAAAATAGGTATAGCAATGCTTCTTTGGTTTAAAAAATATCTTCTCTGGGTTTTTGTTGTTTTGTCTTTTTTGTTTTTCCATTGTTCATGTTTGTCTTTACTATATTTCAAGAGAAAAGGCAAGAGCAAAATCACTTTTGTTTTCAGTGGCCTTATTAGACTGAAAGCTACTAGAAGATTTAAAGAAAAGGACCCATCTTTGTGTTTGTGAACACTCAGATAGTATATTGTAATTGTTAGTGTCCTTATAGAAATGGGCAGGAAAGGACTTTGGAAAGTGAATATCTCAAAACTACACAAATTTTTTCTACAGCAAGGGTCAGAAAACATAAAGGGCCAAATTATAAATATTTTAGCTTTTTTTGAGCTGCATGGTCTCCACTTCAAATACTCAACTTTCTGTAAATATACAACTGCTGAACTCTGGAGTGAGAGAGTATGTTAACCCACAATAGCAAGTAAATGAATGAGCCTGGCTATGTCCAATAAACCTTTATTTACAAAAACAGGTGGCTGGCCTGCTGATCCATTTTCTGTAGCATCTAAAAAATATTATTCATAAACAACCATGTGTGATGCAGTTCTCTGTGCCACAAAAACATCTGTTATTATTGTTAAAAATTATATGTGTAAAATCGTGGAAGACAGAGCACTTCTAGTTTCAAAATGGTCCAGTAGATGTATACTATTTTTAAGTAAAGTGATACGAGGGTTGGATTTTCCTTTAATAAACTCTGAGGATAGGGGAAGGGAAACTGAGTATATAGATGATGAACTGAGTTTGATAAAATATTGAGATTATATGTATATTTTTTAAATTTTATGGTACTGGGTATTAAACTCAGTGTGCCTTACTACTACGCCACATCCCCAGTCCTTTGTATTTTTTGAGACAGAGTCTCATAAGTTCCTGAGGATCCTGCTAAGTTGACGAGGCTGGCCTCGAACTTGTGATCCTCATGGCTCAATCTTCCAAGTTGCTAGAATTATTTTTTTTTTAATTTTTTTTGATAAATATTGAAGCAGGTGACAGGTACATGGGATTTCTTCACACTTTGCTCTCTACCTCTGGGTGTTTTTGAAACTGTCAATATTAAAAAGTTACTACTTTGTATAAAAAGTAGTAACTTTTTATAATGGGGCTGGGGTTGTAGCTGAGTGGAAGAGCACTTGCCTAGCATGTGTGAGGCACTGGGTTCAATTCTCAGCACCACATATAAATAAATAAAATAAAGATACATCAACAACTAAAAAATATTTTTTAAAAAAAGTTACTACATGAAGTATTTATGACCCAATAAAGATAGGAGTTTGTCCTTTCTCTTTTGCATACCTTAGAATGGGGAGGAACATAAAAACCAGAAATATAAGCTCCAAATTTAGTGTAACCAGGGAGATCTCTGCAATTCCAAATCAAAATATATAAATAAAGGTTCCAAATCCAGTGAAAGTCAAGTAGGTATAGGGGATAACCTAGAGATGGTACCTATGGTAGCAGATTCCCAACAAAGCCAGTCAAGCATGGTTCTCCAAAAGAAGCAGGTGACCTCAGACTTCTCCAAAGCAACATTTAGTGCTGACACTTTACCAAGCCTCAAGAAAAGACTAATTTAGGAATTAACATGCCAAGCTTCAGGAAATTTAGCTTTTAAGGCCCCTTCTGCAAGACAAAGTTCAACTGACAAAGAAATGAAAGCAGAAACTATAGCTAAAGAAAGAATTGGCAGTGATCATGGAGTTCATTGATCAATAGAATGAAGACTAAAACAAATGTGGGTATTAGGGTATAGAGGATTGTACATCTTTAAAACCTTGACAGTATAGTAATGATATATAACTTACTGGAAGTTAGAATGAGGAATAGAAATGATGTGAAGTAATATGTCAAGCATCAGAAGTGATTTAAAATAAATCCAATGAAAGTTTAAGTTATGGGATAGAGGGGAGTAGGTAGCTGGACACATAGTTGGTACATAGCTGGAAGTGAAAGGTCAACTCTAAAGGAAGTAATATAATGAGCTAAACTGGATGGTAAAGGGAAGAAAAAAGCATAATTATTAGTTCATCATTGCTCATAATAAAGGATTTTTATATTTTAATATAAGGTATATTTTATGTAAAGTTATGGGGTGCAAGGGAATACCAAACGATGGGATTGCCATTTTAAATTGTGGGGCCAGAATAGGCCTCACTTAGATTTGAAGTAAATAATCTGGAAATTATCCAAGCAGTAGCTATGCAAAGGTTCTAAAGCAAAAGAATAGCTGTTCAAGATATAGGGATGAATTTAGAAGGGCTAAAGTTCAGTGATTAAGAGGAAGATTGGTAGGAGAAAAACTCAGAGAGATAATAAGACCATTAAAAAAATTGACTTTTACCTGAAAAAAACTAGTAGAGTAAAAAAGTAAACCTTCCAAATTATCAGAAGGAATACATGCATAATGACTAAAACACAATAAGGATAAACTATTTTAGTAAACTATTTTTAAGAGAGTAACCAAAAAAAAGGCATATCATAAAAGTTCATAACTGAAAGATTAAATATGTATATTATATGAATGTAAATAAATAAATGTAAATAAGCTAAACTTTCTAAAATATTTCCAGATTAGATCATAAAGAAAGCTATTTAGCTGGATACAGTGGTGCTTGCCTATGATCCCAGTGACTCTGGAAGCTGAGGCAAGAAATCACAAGTTCAAGCATAGCCTAAGGCAATTTAGAGAGACCCTGTCTCAAAATAAAAACTAAGAAGGGCCAGGAGTGTAGCTCAGTGGGAGTGTCCCTGGGTTTAATCCCCTACACCATAAAAAACAACAATAAAAAATACCACCACCAACACACAACATACACACACCAAAAACTATCCATAGTCATTTCTAAAACAACAAAATCAGGAAGGACCAACAGAGATATAACAGGCACATGCAAACTAAAACAACATGGGAGTTGTGGTCTTATTATTGGACAAGACAGTACAAGAACATTCCACAAAGAAGAAGGACATACAAGATCTGTATGAAAAAAAATTTTAAATTCTTCTCAGGGATGCAAATAGAGACTCAAATTGAAAGGCTTACAAGGTTGTTGGGTAAAAAGACTCAAAATCATCCAGATGTCAGGTTTTTTTATTAATCCATGGAGTTGATACAGTCTCAAAATGGCAACATTTTTGAACACTTACTGTATGCCTGCTATCTTTCTAAATGCTTTATATGTATTACTCGGTTAGTCCTCACAACAGCTTTATATAGTAGGTATTAGTAGTAGTACATCTTTTAGTGTAGAAATCAAGGCACCAAGAGTCTCATGAACTTGCCCAAGGTGGCATTTATATGTGGTGCTGAGAATCAAACCCAGTGCCTTACACATGTGAGGTAAGTGCTCTACCACTGAGCTACAACCCCAGCCCCAGACTCTACTTTTTCACCCACTATACTATACTGTTATTTTTTTTAACTGTAGGATTATGTGTACATGTGTGTGTAAGCAGATAAACTGACTCTAAAGTTCATATGGAGAAATAGATAATAAGGAATAGGTAAGAAAAATTTTAAAGAAAATGACAAGGGAAAACTAGCCCTAACAGATATTAAAATAGATTATAAAATAGAATGTTGAAACAAAGAACTATTTATGGCACACATAAACAGATCATTGGATAGAAGTTCAGAAGTAGATCCAGAATTATATAGGTATTTGGAAAATTATGAAACTAGCATTTCCAATGAATGAGGAAAAGAATTATTCACTATGGGACAGCTGTATTGTCATTAGAGGGATACTTGGATTTTTACTTCTTTGATTAAAATTAATTTCTAATGAATCAAATATTTAAACCTAAAAAAGTAAATTAGCTGTGGACCAAGACTCAAGTTGCCTTCCTTTCTTCTTCCTTTGATACTTTTTGTAGCTAAGAAAGTAAAAGGTACAAAGGAATAAATAAAGTTTGGGGCAAGTCAAAAAGTTTTAATTATGAGAACCTTAGTTCCAGACCCACAGTGGCATTTCTCTTTGAAGAAGTAGCAAAAGTGGGTGTGACTGTGATTTCCTTCTAACACAGAGAAGGTGGTGAGTGGGGACTCCAAGGTTGCCTGTCCATACTTTACAAAAGGAGAAAGAGCAGATACCTACCCACATAATGGTATATTCATGATACAGCTACTTAGTACCTGTCTTGTACTTGGTAAAGGATAGGCAGGAAATGCAGGTGTGAAGGCTAACAAGAGAAATGAGCAAGAAAATGTAGTTTAGTCTTGATAGCACATATCAACAATATCAAATGTTTTTACAATGATTCATCAGGTGTAATTCTAATCTTAATATAACATTTGTACTTATGTGTGTGTATGTAAATGTGTATGTAATCTTGAAAATACACCAAGAAAAGTTCATCGTTGCTATTATCTGTGGATGTTAGGAGTTCGAAAGTCTTTAATATTCTTTTACCTGAATTTCTAAACTTTTCTACAAAGGATACACAGTACTGATACACTCAAAAGCTATTTTTATTTCCTGCATACACTTACTTGTGTAACATTTGTTGTTCTGCCTGACAGTAGATGTGTCTTCTTTTTGTAGGTCCACCAGAGGCTCTCCTCCTGGCAGAATTTGGGAGTTGTTTATTGCAGTACTGTTGTGCCCTCTGATGGTGAGTTTTGGCAAAGCCATTTTTTAGTGTCTAATTTTTTTCCTTTCTTTCACTTAATGTTTACATTCCCTAGCTGATGTGTAAACTAATAAACTAAAATCTTTCACATAAGGTAGAATTGGGTTTCATAGAAGGAAAGATTAAAGAAAGGAATTAAAATCTGGTTGAGGATCTAGTGAATTTAGAGGAGAAACTAAGAAGAGAAAATAAGAGGCCCATCAAGTCTTCATAGGTCACAGAATGTTCGTTTTAAAAGTGAGGACATAGGTAATGTGAAGATGAGAGAAGCGCTGTTTCTGGTATTCCCTAACTGTCTGGTTTCCACATTATGATGATCAAACACTCTAGCCCCATCATGGCGTCAGAGCCTAGACAGAAGCAATTCGAAGTCTGAGACCCTCTGCTCTTGCTTGTCTTTTTCTTCCCTTAGGCTGAGGACTGTAATTTTCTTCTTTGATATGGGAAGAGATGAACAGATACTTGGGAGATCACATGTAATCCTTTGTAAATGTCTACAATGCTATAAACTGGCTTCAGAATCTAAGCTTTGGTTTTTTTCACACTAGTAGAGGGAGATATGTCTACTTTACTTTACTTTTATTTTATTTTGGGAATCAAACCCAGGCCTCACACATACCAGGAAGGTGCTCCCCATTGAGCTATATTCCCTGCCCTTCTTTACAACTTTTACTCTCATTGTACATGTACAGTTTAGGCTGCTTGGTTTAGAGGTTGACTGTTAAATATGTTTCTTCTGTGTAGAATTTGGTTTGTTAGAATTCCAATTTCAACCTTATTATCATTCATTTATAAGCATATTCTTTTTTTATTTAATTGATTTTATTTTTTATACACAACAGCGGAATTCATTACAATTCTTATTACACATACAGAGCACAATTTTTTATATCTTTGTATATAAAGTATGTTCACTCCAATTCATGTCTTTATACACGTACTTTGGTTTTGTTTTGGCTTTTTTTGCATTACAATTCTTATTACACATATATAACATAATTTTTCATATCTCTGTTTGCATATAAATTAGGTTGACACCCAATTTGTGTCTTCATAATGTACTTTGGAAGCATATTCTTATTCATCTATAAGCATGGCAACCATTGAAAGAGCATCCTGCAAACTTACAAAGACAATTTAGACTGAAGAATCATGGATGATGAATCATGAGAATCCTAGACTATTCTGTCAGTGTAGATATTTGCAAAGCTGTTTCTAGACAGTGTGTTCTTACTTGCTGCACTCTCTAAACTTGGAGGAAATACCCTTTTGTGGTTACTCATTTGTAATATGGAAAGGTTGTTAGGGAAAATAGACCAAAATCAAAACAAGGGAAATATTGGCTTTCTTTTACCTATTTCTGAAAGACTTTTTAAAAACTGCTAAAGTGGTACCAATTACATACTAATATTGTTTATTATATTAAAAAGCAACAATCCACTTACTGCAGCCAAAAGACAGGCGAGTGTGTTTCCCCCAGTCAGGACTCAGGATGTACCCACATATCAGAATTCATATCGTGGCCAAGGGCCAGAAGACTGCAATGCCCTTACTCCTTTCCAAAGCAGTGAGTAGGTATTTCTCTTCCCTCTGACACTCTTCTGATACATTACACACCCAAACGAGGGCTGTCCACATCTGAGCCTCCCCCACTCCCAGGTTGGTTACCTTCCCCGACGAGCAGTGTGTGAGTGCTGTGGCTTCCCACATCTTCCGCAGCTCTTGGCATGATCAGTCTTCTTGACTGTAGACACTCAAAGATGTGCTGTATTACTTTGTCATGATTTTAATTGGCCTTGTATTGTTGCTTAATGATATTGAACAGCTTTTCATGTGTTTAGTAATCAGATGTTTTTGGGGGGAAATGTTCAAAATTTAGGCCCAAGGCTCAATCCCCAGTACCAAAAAGAAAACAAAACAAACAAAAAAAAAAACTCTTGTTAGTTTTGAGTTGTCAAAGTTCTTTATATAAAAAATAAAAAGGACTGGGGATGTGGCTCAGTGGTTAAATGTCTCTGGGTTCTTTATATATTCTAGAGATTTTCTATTGTTGTTGTTGTTGTCATTATGATGTCCTAAGTTGCTAAAGCTGACCTAAAACTTGCAATCTTCCTGCCTCAGCCTCCTGAGTCACTGGGAATACAGGGATGCACCACCACACCTGGCCTCCTGTTACTTTTAAAAATAGTTTTTGGGGAAAAGAGAAAAAATGTTTTTGAGTGAAGCAGTGTTATAAATAGCCACTGTTGTACATAGTTGGAATTTCTATACTAAGGTCATCATCATATTGAGAGCACAGACATAGTTCACAGCTATATATCTTTCATTCTAACTTTTAAGACTTGATAACAAAAGAGAAATGAAAAAAGGAACCTATGTAATCACCAAAGGTGATAGGACATAGAGCCTCACAACCCTAAATTTGAAGATACATTTTTCCATTTTCAAAATATATCTGATTGTTTGGACTTTGAGGGGGGGTTTTGTTGGTGTTGTTTCACAGTGCTGGGGATCGAACCCAGGGTGTCGTGCATGCTAGGCAAGAGCTATACTAGTGAACCTTGCCCCCAGCACCAGTTTTTGGACTTCTTTGTAAGTAGAAATTTTAATTTGCCAAAATAGAGATAAATTTATTCCATCAAAGAACCCTTTCTTGAAGAATTTTATAAAAGATTGGCTTTTCACATTGCCAAAAAAGTAGCCACATGATATTGAAAGACTTTAAGCTGTATGTGCTGACATTGTTTGAACTGGCTTATTTTTGAGTAGAAGCAAATTTATGTCAGATTTTAGGTGATATAATCTGTTTAGGATTGCTGTTATTTTTTCTAATATTTTGAAGTAAATTTTGAGGGAATTAGAAACTCTCATTTCTTCCCTGGATGCAGTTTGATAAAATGACTGATTTTGCACTAAACAGTTAGTTCCTAGTTTTCTATTAATATGCATGTTGACATGGTCATAGAAAAATTCCTAATATATGACTCTCTTGTGGAAACTAGAAAGGCTATTAACATTGACCTTTCTTAAAATCGAGTGTTAAATTTCTTTGCTGAAATAACCACTGGGGGAAAAAGTTTTGTTTTGTTTTGTTTTTTTACTGGAAGGAGGATCTTGTTTCTCTCTACACAGATGGTAATGCAGAGATATATACTGCCCTGCTGGGGACACAGCCCTGCCTGTTGTGATATTGTATTGCTTTTTTTCATTGACACATACAGGCATTTTGAAGACTTCCAGCAGGCCTACTACCACAGAAGGAACAATTTCTTGAGAACAAAGTTTTTATCAAGAGAAAGGATCAAAATATAAAATTAGTTTTTGCTTGCTAATTTTTTGATAGTAGATTTACCTTTTAAGATAAAAGAATTTAGTACAGGAGGAGTTTATTCATGGCTTGATTTGCTCGGGGATGTTTAGGGCTTTATGAATGAGTGTAAACTTCTAATTCATCACCTTAAAGTCATTATTATGGGCTTGGCAGAAAGGTCATAAACCCTTTAGCTAAGCTGCTGCTCTAAGTTAGGTAATTAGAAATGGATAACCATGGAATTTTCTACTGCTGGAGGAAGTATCTCTTCTTATTCATCTACTGCTGGAGGAAGTATCTCAGTAAACTAGTCACGGAATGAAAAATTCTGCTAGTTTCTTTGCAGGCATCTAGAAAAACCTCAAAGCTCTTGAAGACTACCTCTGACTCAGAAAACCTCAGAATTGAAACTTGGATTTGTAATCTTTTCACTGGTGATATTACATCAAAGCAGTGTAATACATTCAATTCTAGGAGTCACAGAATCTTTAGGTTTCTTACACAAGCCTCACCTAGCATCATCGGGCAGTGTGAGCTGTGGGAACTGAGATTATGTTAAGAATCACAGTTATATTATGTAAGAATCACAGAATACTAAGAAACATACCTTTCTCAGTTTTCACTGCTTCTTTTCATCAAAACATCAAGGTACAGCTTTTTAGATATCAAATATTATATAAAAGTTACCATGTTCCAAAACCAAGCTGTTATGTGATTTCTTTTATTCAAGCCAAATAATAGCAATCTTATAATTGACATGTAATTTTGTACAGAATTAAAGTTGCTTGGGGGATTGAGGCAGGAGTATCACAAGTTCAAGGACAAGTTAGTGACCCTGTCTCAGAAAAGAGAAGGAAGATGGGGCCCCCGTAGCTCGGTGATAGAGTACTTGCTAGCATGTGTGAGGTCCTGGGTTCTATCTCCAGTACCTCCCCAAAATTTTAAAAACTAATTTGTTTAATTACTTTTATGCTTTATTTCTTAAAAAAAAAGGAAATGGTCATTACTTTTAGTCTAAAAATGAGGAAAAATCTTCAGTTTTTGAAAGTATTTAAAATATGACAGTAGAAGAAATTAAATTTCCAGTGCAGTAAAATAAATTATATCTAAAATTCTTATGTATAAATTGTTTGAAATTTTTCTAGGAAAAAGGACTTAGGGAGGAGTCTCTCTATAGCTTCATCAGATTCTCAGAGGTCAGTTAACCAAAAATATTAAGAAACACCAAATTAACTTGTATAACATGCTTATTTTAAAACTCCATTTTTTTTAGAGCCATTTTAGGTTCTAAAATTTTAGGTTCTAAAAGATAGCTCTGCGCTCTGTGCCCCCAGGCACATGCACATCCTCCCCCATTACCAGCACCCCCAATCAGAGTGGCAGAGTTGCTACAGTCCATGAACCTACATTGACAAATCATCATCCAAAGTCCATAATTCACATTAAGGTTCTTGGTGTTTTATATTTTGTGGGTTTAAAGACATGTCTCCATGATTATAGAATCATTCAGAGTAGTTTCACTGCCTCAAGAATCCTTTGTGCTCCACCTGTTTATCCTTCCCTCCTCCCTAGCCCCCTGACAACCACGGATCTTTTTTATAGTTTCTACAGTTTGCCTTTAACAATGTGTCATGTGGTTGGAATCATATAATATGTAGCCTTTCAGGTTGCC